ACACGGCAGGAACGGAGCAGCAGGGCTGCAGAGAGCAGAGGCTGCAGCCCCTGCACACCGCAGGCACGGCCAGCACGGACTGAGCTCAGGGCTGAGCCTCTGATGCAAACATCAAACACCTCCTTGGGAGTCCTGAGTGCCTAAATAGAGCTGAACTAAGGAGTCATGTCATGCTGCATCACCTGCCCTCATGAAGGGGCTGACAGGGCTTCCTTTTGTGCTCAGCCTGCTGTTTTCACAAATTGCCAAAGTCACAGGTTATTTTAAATTCTGGATGCTTTAACGCTCCAGTGAGCTGCATTCACAAGTCGTGAGGGTGCACAGACCCAGAGCTGCACGCACACACCTTCACACTCACCGTGAGCCCACGGGAGTCCGTGGCCAGGAGCCCTGGGAGCCCAGGAGCTTCCCGTGCCCGCAGACGGCAGGGCCCGCTGCACATTCCTGCAGGCTGAAGTCAGCGGGAGTGGAGACACCCAGCAGGCCGGGAGAGCCGGCGGCTCGGGATGGCAGCCAGCTCACTCTGCGCCTACCTCGGTAAGCACAAAAATCCTGAGGTCACAAAGAAACAAAGGGGAAAACAGGAAAAAGAGCTTCAAAGAGGGAAATTCCCAGGTGCTGACTTTTATCTACAGACACAACTCTGCCTGGGCTTCTCCTGAGAGCAGCAGCACAGCCTGGGAGCAAGCCCAGAGAACAGGTGTGCTGTGGGCAAGGAGCAGCCTGGGCACTGGGCAGGGCACAGGGGCACTGCCCACCCGGGAAATGGCCCTTTGCTGGATAAACCCACCTGGTGATGGAAGTGAGCCCCCAGAGCACTGCTCTGCCCTGCAGACATGGCAGGACACTGCTCTGCCAGCACAGGGCATCTCCACCACAAGGGCTCAAGCCCCCTGTGTGCCCTCAGTGGCTCAGGAGCAGCCTGGTGCCGCTCCCAGACCTCCTCCCACAGGCTGCCCTGCTCTGCAAGCACGAGCTGTGGGAGAAGCCCACTCAGACTGAGCCCCCGGAGCTCACAGTGCACCCAGAGCCAGCAGCTGAGCCAGCCTGTCCCCCAGCAGCAAAGCAGCAGCACCTGCCGTGCTTCGGTCAGTGCTCACCTCTCCAAGCTGCCCTTCCTGCTCTGCACCATCCCCTCCTGGGGCTAGGGGCTGCAGGGCAGCAGGATTTATAGCTGCTCCTGCCTGCAGCACTCACTGGTGGCCAGAAGCACCTGGGGGCACTGGAGTGATGCAGCCTTGCAAGCAGCAGGGCCATTTCCATGTGTTTAATTAGGTAACTGGAGCCTGCTGTTTTCTGCTGTCAACCCTACACGGAGACCAGCTTCTGGAGGCTGTGTTCAGGTCCATACTACTTCTTGTCTTGGAGGATTAAAACTTGAACTGCATCCCTGCAGGTTCAGCAGCGATGGGTAGATCCCAGAGGGGCAGGGTGCTGTGCTTGGTGTTCCGTGGCTCTCTCTGCGCTGCAGGGAAAAGGAGCAGTGCAGCAGAAAGCCCAGGGCTGGTGGGGGCGCTGGGCACTGGCTGCTGAGGGCCAGGGCTCACAGGCAGCTCCTGGGCTGTCCCTGTGGGGAGGCTCCAGCCCTGGGCTGGGCAGCTCAGAGGTATCAGAGCCAGTTTTGTGTCTGCCCCACAGGCTCACAGCCTCAATCACCCCCATTCCATCCCTGCCAGGTGCAGGGACCAGGCAGCAGGAGGAGGAAGAGGAGGAGGAGCAGAAGCAGGTGGCCTGGGTGACCTCCCCAGTCACAGGAAGGACACGTCCATCCTCTCTCACTGCTGCTCAGCCTGGTTCCACCGCCAACTACTCCTAATGACACTTCAACAAACACACAACAATCTGTCTTCATGAAAATCAGTGAATAAATTTAATTTAAAAATACTTTTCTATTTCTGGGCAGGCACCACTCTGCTCCAGCTACTTCAGAATCAGCTGAAGCCTGCACAGTGCCCAACAGCCAGACTGCACAAGGCTGTAATGGCAAAACACAGCATCCAACCCTCTGTGAGCTTAATAAGCAGCTCCCCTCACCCCTCCTCTTTATGAAGTGTAGATGGGGCTCAGTGTTGGCGTCCACCCTCCAGCTGGTGTGTATGTACCTCATGAAGGGGAAAAAGGAAAAGAAAGCCTGAGCCATGCAGCTGCCACGGGGTCTGTCCCTGTGGGGTGCGCATGGAGCAGGGCAGTGGTGCCCGCTGCTGCTGCCCAGCACAGGACACCAGCATTGGTTTGAGAGGTGGAACAGTTCAGAGAGGCTCTTTCTCTGCTGGCTGCAGGTCCCCACAGCCTGCACATCCCTGCAGAGTCACACTGGCCTAATTATGTCTTGAGGCAAACACAAGTTACTTACTGAGTGCAGGGTTCTGCTGTGGGCACCGCAGTGCGCTCAGAGCCCACAGCCGGCGGGCACTGCCCCCAGTGCCCCCAGGAGCGGTGGGCATCCATATCGTGCCAGGAGGGCACTCCCACCCTGGCCCCTGGGGTCTGCAGACACAGGCAGGGCTGCATTGGCCCCTTTCAGCAGCAGCGCTGGGCGCCGTGTTCGTGGGTGGCTGGGAGGGTGAGCTGCCAGCTCAGATCTATAATCTGTAGCAGCTTGTAAGAGGCACCCCCTCTCCCTGCCCTCCAGGAGCTAAAAACAGTCTGAAGGTCCCTCTTCCCCCGGGAAGGAGGCATGTGGCCTCCACTTGCATGGCGCAGAGTGGCTGAGGCTTTTATGTGCCCTGGAGGTGCTGCCGTGCTGTGCCCTCGTGGCACACTCAGCCCTGGCTGCTGCAGAGGCCCCTGAACCCCTCATGGACACTCAGCAGGGCTGCAGAGGCCCCTGAACCCCTCATGGACACTCAGCAGGGCTGCAGAGGCCCGGAACCCCTCATGGACACTCAGCAGGGCTGCAGAGGCCCCTGAACCCCAGCCCTGTGCCCTGCAGCTCCTGGGGATGATGAGGACAAAGCTGTTCCACTTTGCTTTGGGATCCATTGGATCCATTCACAGTTCTGTTTCCTTCCTAATCTAATCAGATGAAAATACAAACTGAGTGCTAATCACAGAGCACAAAGAGGAAAGACTACATTAAAAAGAAAAACAACCCTCACCACCTTTGTCTTCAGTAAAGTTTAAGTCATTTTGAACCACTGGCAGAGGAGCTGAGACTGCTTGCAGCATCCCTCACTGCCACTGTGAGCCCCACCAGCCCAGCCCAGGCTGCAAAGCAGCACCAAGCACAAGGAAACCGGAGATGAAACAGAGCGCCGTCATTGGCTCCTGGCATTGTCCTGAAGATGTTTGTCAACATTTTAGTTTTGCTAAATGGCCACTATACTACAGAAATACAGAAATGTTTTGTTTTGACATAATCATGATCTGGGGAGGAGAACATTGGAAAAAACACATTAACCCTTTCCACACTGTACTTCTGAGGAATCCTGAGAGTAGGGCAGGGACGGCTGCAACCTGCCGGAGGTTGCAACCTCAGGATATCGGAGACAACTTCAGATTTACAGTCTTGGTCCCTAGGATTTGTAGTACTCTTATGTTGAAAACAGAGCTGAAATACAGCAGGGTTTGTAAGGAAAGTGGTCTTGGGCCTTAACTGCCCCTCCTGCTCTCCTTAGGCAATCCATCAGTATGTGCGAGCAGGCAGTCCCGAGATAGGAATTCAGCTGATAAAGGGAATGCAAATCGCAGGTACCGAGAGGGTGCCTGGCCTCCCTTGCCGAAGCTGGCGGGGCAGGAAGGGGCCCCTCTGGCCCCTCTGGC